GTTCAGGCTTACGCACGTGACATAAGGGTAACTGTGACCTAGAACATAACGATACGCTACGGGGTAAACAGGGATTATGTGAAAATTTGAGGACTTGGACGGTCAAGCCGGCTATGTGAGTATGGCCACGGAACTCGAAGCGCTGATCAAAGGGAGCGGTCAGCCAGTGTCCGGTGGCGCCCTTCCGCCCAGGGCGCGCCCCAACCGGATCTCCTTGGTGCTTTCTCACTGGGACTCGTTCTACAAGACGTGTGTCATAGGTATATCATATGTTTTATAGGTATATCTACATGTTTTATAGGTAATCGTATGTTGTATACGTATATCGTATGTTTTATAGGTATATCATAAGATGCATGGTTAAATGGTTAAATCAAATCTTTTATAGGAATATCATAAGATGCATGGGAAAATCATATTTTTATAGGTATATCATAAGTTTCATGGGTAAATCATACGTTTTACAGGTATATCATAAGATGCACGGTTAAATCATATGTTGTATGGGTACATCATATGATTTATAAGTATATCATACGTTTGATGGGTATGTCATATGAGTGATGCAGTGATATGATGCAAGTGTTCATATGTGTTAAAGGAATATCATATCTGTAAAAGGCACATCATATGAGTACTATAGGTACATGATATGTGCGTTTTAGGTATATCATATGCGTATTGTACGCAGGCCTAAATCATGCGTGTTAAAGGACAATCGTATGTGTTGCAGGTATGCCATTTGAGCTTTAAAGTTAGGTCGCATGCGCTTTATGTATGTTACTTGTGATTCAATGAAATCATGTTTTTTTTTGCTTAATTGGCTCATCGCATGTGCTGTGTGTGTTCTTCATGCGGTCCTCTTGGGTGTGTCGTGTGCGTTAGGATAGTAATGACTTTTTCATATCGGCTTGGTAAAATGAAATTAAAGAGTGGATTTTTTTTTATTTTTTTTTTTTAGTTTTATGACTGGTAAAGACTGATTACTAGACCGAAGTCTCATTCTCTGTTGATTGTCTCTCAACACAATATGCGTCTGGTCTTGGTGGTGGTGGTGGTGGTCGTGGTGGTGTCCCTTGTGTCATTACCTCCCGATTTCAACATATCTATGGCTTTTCTTGATGATTGACTTGCGCTATTATGTTGGGGTTGGGTATTTGCACGCTGTTTCTAGCTCCATTCTTCTTTCTTTTTTTTTTTCTTTTTTTTTTCATCTTCACATGTCTGGATTTTTGTGTTTTATGTTTTGGGAAGTTACCTAGTTTTAATTTTACATTTTATTATCCAATTTTCATTATCCACTGCTCATTATCCACTTTTCACTATCCAATGTTCAATATCTACTTTTCATTATTCCATCTTTTCATCGTCCACTTTTCAATATATATTATTTTTTTCATTTTCTAGCTTGATTATCTCCTTCTAAAACAGCTCCGATTATTTGGTATGAACTCTACAGAAAGAAAACAAATATGTATTTCATGTAACACGTACCTGTGTATGAGGACTGACATTTTCAGTACACACGCATGTGAGGATCTGTAAACTAAATATTATGGTTTGACGCTAGTGGTGGGGGTAGGAATGCACGCGGGAACCCTTTCTATTCGCATCTTGTTAACTTACTCACCTCCCATAGTATGAACTTACTACCGCCCGTGGTACCACGTTAACAAAAAAACATGAATTGCCTGTTGTTTCTCTGGTAATAGGCTTTGTCATTTCGCAGATCGGAAATCGTCATAGCGTACTATTTTTAGAAGATCGGCGGACAAATATTGCTTAAAACATGGCAGCTTATAGTGTGTTTCAGCATAGCGTTCAGACGAGCCTTGTATCTAGAGTTACTGTTTACATTTGCCGTTCGCGCAAGGAAGTCCCATTTCAGAAAATATAATTTTAAAAAAAATGTGCAAAATATTTCGTAAAATAGAATTGTAAACAATTTTCAAGGACACTTCGCTAACATAGTAATACTGAACAGTGTTGACATTTTGTCCGCGCTGAGTACCCGGATGATGAGTACTAATGACATCAGTTCTATTAATAGATTTCCGCCATTAAATGGCAAGCCCTATTCTTGCGATAGAAAGCTTTGTAAAGAGCTTTTTCTTTTTTTTTTACATACGATTGAATTGCCTGGGGCACCCTAAGTGTTAACATAGCAGTGGCATTCGTTTCAAGAAATAAGTGTCTTCTTGCGCTCAAGATAACCTTACCATTTACATCAGTTCTATTAATAGATTTCCGCCATTAAATGGCAAGCCCTATTCTTGCGATAGAAAGCTTTGTAAAGAGCTTTTTCTTTTTTTTTTTTTTTACATACGATTGAATTGCCTGGGGCACCCTAAGTGTTAACATAGCAGTGGCATTCGTTTCAAGAAATAAGTGTCTTCTTGCGCTCAAGATAACCTTACCATTATTAGCACCTGTGGTTTGTATTTTGGTGTTGTTTTTGTTGGTTTTTTTAGTGCAACCATTTTCCGAAAGGTCTCCTCACAAGGTATACAAAAGGGATATTACTCGCGTCCCATCAGTTAAGTGACCTCACTCACTACTCTATGCGCCGCTAATATTTATTAAATACACACATTTGAGATTTTTTATTTTTTTTTGATATCCCGCTGTTTTCCACTGCCTGAAGGTTGTTTTCTGACTAAGCCAATGCAACTATTCGTTACCATTGTTAGTTTTCTTTTTTTTTTTTCGTTTACATTATATTCATGGAGACATTACTCATTAAACTTTTTGTTACATTTGCCTCATTGTTCTGTTTGCCTCATTGCTCTATTTGCATTGCTTTATTTTGCCCATTGCTCTTTTTGCCATTTTTCTATTTTCTCCAATGCCACCGCCCTATTAGCTACATTGTTTATCATGTCGGGGAATCATGTCCTTTGCTCTTTTATTTCATCGCCCTCTAGGCCCATAGCTTGATTTCTTCTCTAGGCTCATCGCCTGAATATCTTCCCATTTCCTCCTGAGTCGCGTAGACCCAATTTTCTCCTTTAGCCTCATCGCCCCACTTCTCCTCCAAGCTCATCTGCCCCACTTCTCCTCCAAGCTCATCTGCCCCGTTTCGCCTCATCGCCCCACTTCTCCTCCAAAGCTCATCTGCCCCCTTTCGCCTCATCGCCCCACTTCTCCTCCAAGCTCATCTGCCCCCTTTCGCCTCATCTGCCCCACTTCTCCTCCAAGCTCATCTGCCCCACTTCTCCTCCAAGCTCATCTGCCCCACTTCTCCTCCAAGCTCATCTGCCCCACTTCTTCAAAGCTCATCTGCCCCACTTCTCCTCCAAGCTCATCTGCCCCACTTCTCCTCCAAGCTCATCTGCCCCACTTCTCCTCCAAAGCTCATCTGCCCCACTTCTCCTCAAAGCTCATCTGCCCCACTTCTCCTCCAAGCTCATCTGCCCCACTTCTCCTCCAAGCTCATCTGCCCCACTTCTCCTCCAAGCTCATCTGCCCCCGTTTCTCTTGCACTTATCTCCGGAGAGATGTTTGAGTTTGTGTTGGGTACATTGCTAATAATATCGTGTAACGTTCCTTGTCAACGTGCTACTCTTTCTACACGTGAGTTTGTTGGAGTATCTCCTTGGCATCGGTTGTTCTTTTATTGACCTTACAAAGTTTAAATTTAAAAATTTAGATTGATTTAGTGACCCAGGATTTTAGATTGATTTAGTGACCCGGGAGTTTAGATTGATTTAGTGACCCGAGAGTTTAGATTGATTGACCCGGGAGTTTAGATTGATTTAGTGACCCGGGAGTTTAGATTGATTTAGTGACCCGGGAGTTTAGATTGATTTAGTGACCCGGGAGTTTAGATTGATTTAGTGACCCGGGAGTTTAGATTGATTTAGTGACCCGGGAGTTCGTCCCTGCTACGCATCGCTGCACACACACACACACACACACGAAAAACCACGCTTGCCCACCAGCTTGTCCGTCTGAGTTAGGGGGAATTCACGGGTGGCTGCGTCGAGTTGTGGCCCGGTAGTGGTATTTTAGCTTACTCTGGAGGACAGTACACATGATTCCCTATTTTTTGTTTTGTTTATTTGTTTGTTGATTTAATGTCAAAATCGTAGTAACATCGGAAACACATGTTGAGAAAATTTAAGAGCACGGTTTTTATTCTTTTGGTTGTTTTTTTCTTAACGATTTCCAATATTGAAACGCTAGCAAGCTGACTTTTCATCAATTGACTTGGATTAGCTAGCTGTTTTTTTCTTGACGATTTCCAATATTGAAACATTAGCAAGCTGACTTTTCATCAATTGACTTGGATTAGCTAGCTGTTTTTTTCTTGACGATTTCCAATATTGAAACGCTAGCAAGCTGACTTTTCATCAATTGACTTGGATTAGCCAGCTGTTTTTTTCTTGACGATTTCCAATATTGAAACGCTAGCAAGCTGACTTTTCATCAATTGACTTGGATTAGCTAGCTGTTTTTTTCTTGACGATTTCCAATATTGAAACGTTAGCAAGCTGACTTTTCATCAATTGACTTGGATTAGCTAGCTGTTTTTTTCTTGACGATTTCCAATATTGAAACGCTAGCAAGCTGACTTTTCATCAATTGACTTGGATTAGCCAGCTGTTTTTTTCTTGACGATTTCCAATATTGAAACGCTAGCAAGCTGACTTTTCATCAATTGACTTGGATTAGCCACCTATTTTTTTCTTGACGATTTCCAATATTGAAACGTTAGCAAGCTGACTTTTCATCATTGACTTGGATTAGCCACCTATTTTTTTCTTGACGATTTCAAATATTGAAACGCTAGCAAGCTGACTTTTCATCATTCACATGGATTAGCCACCTATTTTTTCTTGACGATTTCCAATATTGAAACGATAGCAAGCTAACTTTTCATCTTGACTTGGATTAACCACCTATTTTTTTCTTGCTCATATTTTTTAAGACCGAAAAAAAAACAACCTAGACGCCTTTTGAAAAGATAAAAAAAAAAATGCAAACAACATATTCTTATATTGTTGATTGAATCGGTTTTATTCTTTCATATACATTCTAGCAATCATTTATTGATGAGTGAACACAGTGGCGTAGGAAGGTGGTGCGTGGAGGTGGTTGGGTGGTCTGCCCCTAGCGGCACTTTCTTTTCCAAGTATGAAGGGAGTCATTTTGGGTAAATTGCAGAGTTTTTTCGTTACTGCAAAAAACATTTTCGGCCACCCCGGGTGGCACTAAGCCTAGCTACGCCACAGGGAGGAACATAATGAGTTTGACTATGAGTCAAAGAGCAGCATGCACGAGTTAAGATGTCGATTGCGTTAAACAATCATGATAAATAGTTATATGCACGGGACACCAGGTTTTTTGGGGGCAGTGTTTGGGAATCGGGGCCATTCTTATTTCAGGTCATGAGAGGCTGAAAAGATCGTTTTGTATCTGCAAGTGACCCGTCTCCAGGCACGCCTGTCCCCCCCACCCCTACCCCCACCCTTAGTGGTGGAAGCCAACCCCTCCCCCCACCCCTGGACCTTGGTCAATTCTGTGTGTGTGGGTCATGGGTCATGCAGGTCAAAGCTAGTATTGCCCACTGGTCACTGGTGTGTCATTCGTGCGCTCGCTATGAATACTATTATTATATTTTATTATTATACAAAATGTTTAAAGATAATGTAAAAAATATTTTAAAAAATTGCTAGTTAAAAAAATTGTTAGATCATTGTTGATTATTCATTAATAATAATATTAGAGACAAACTATTAACATTTTGCTAAAAGCTAAATCATTCTTCTTCTTCTATATCATAAGGGCACACGATCAATGCATTGTTATTCTGGCTCCTATTTATGTAGAGGGTATTTGCTATGTTTCTGTGCCTGATATTGAAAAGGACATTTCACTGGTTGCGAGCGCCACTAATTTTTCAGCAAATAAAATACAGTGACTATTTTTTTTTTAATGAATTTTAGTAGACCTAAAATATTTAGTTTGATTTTCATTCCTAAAACAATTAGGACAATCTCTCTGTCCTTATCGTGGCTGTGCTGTCAGTATAGTTGTTGTGCTGTCAGTATCGTGGCTGTGCTGTCAGTATCGTGGCTGTGCTGTCAGAATCGTGGCTGTGCTGTCAGTATCGTGGCTGTGCTGTCAGTATCGTGGCTGTGCTGTCAGTATCGTGGCTGTGCTGTCAGAATCGTGTCTGTTCTGTCAGTATAGCTGTTGTGCTGTCAAATCACGTCTCGTTTCGTTCATGCGCGTGGATGGGACTCGTTAGCCTTGGACGGCAACCCATCTAAGAGAAGGCAAAACTCTGGCTTGAAACCAGGAGCCAGAATGATCAACAAATTGAACGTGGGAACCTCAAATATAAAAAAAAGAAGAAGAGTGGTATAGATGGTAAGCAAATGCTCCCCCCCCCCACCCCAATGTGTAGACGCCCCTACCCTTGACAACATTAAGAACTGCACTGATCAGAAAGTTACAACTTTTTCGCCTGACTCTGAAACATAATTCTGCCGCAATTGGTAACTACACAAGTTTTGACCATTTAAACACGCGTTACAGTCCGGGAGAAATGACATTGAAAACAGTCGCATTGGTTGAAATTGTGTTCTGAAATTGGAAATAAATTAACTTTCTCTTCTGAGCTTTGAACTAAATTAACGTTCTGTTCTGAAATTTGAGCTGAAATGTCTCAAATATTAAGCTAAATTTACTTTCTTTTCTGAATGTTATGCTAATTTGACTTTCTGTTATGAACATTGACTTTATTGAGATCTTTAAAAAGCATAAGTTTGATTTTTAATGCAAATTGATCCGTTGTTTATTAGTATTTTGTCTGCTGAAGGAGCCATTTAGCCGAAACTTCCGTTTAATTGGCATAGCTTTTTTTTTTCTCCAAGCCTAAACATATCTCGTTACACTATTTACTGGTTAAAGTTATGTCATTCTTGGTTAAATCTATTTTAGAGAGGTTAAAGTTAAGTAATTGTTGTTAAATTTATGTCACAAGCATATTGGATTAATATATGTTTTTAACAGGAAACTTTCTCCGTATGTCAGCAAGCGATCCCCTTACAAGATAAGTACAAATACGTTCATGAGCATGAAATAAACACGAACACATGGAACTACTGTTAAGATACAGTTACAGATGACAAAAGACTGGGCTATTTGTGAACCCAGGGGGGTCAACCCCCAAAGAATGTAGAACCCTCGTTTGGCATGACACATTTCACATCTGGGTCCTCTGACGACGGGTAGCGGTGGCACTGGAGTTTGTTGGGCCAGGGGAGTCGGTGGTAGATGCGACGGTAGTGAGGCTCGCAGGCTTGGCGGATCTAGAAGACCAGAGATTCAGTTCAGAATTGGGGACAATCTCTAAACATCACAACTTCTCACTCCGACCACTGCTCCCCCTGACAATCTTACGCTCTATAATCACTCTCCCCGACAATCTCTAACCCTGACAACTTCTCACCCTGACAATCGCTCGCCTTGACAACGACTCGCCCTGACAATCTCTCGCCCTGACAATCTCTCGCCCCGACAATCCCTCCCCTGACAATCCCTCCTCCTAACAATCATTCACCCTGAAAATCTCTTAAGTCGGACACCTCCTCGCCCTGACAATCTTTCACCTCGACAATCTCTAGCTCTGACACCTTCTCACCCTGACAATACCTTGCCATGACAATCTCTGACTCCGACAATCTCTAACTCTGACACTTTTCTCACCCTGAAAATCTCTCATCCCGACAACCTCTAGCCCTGAAAACTTCTTGCCCTGACAACTTCTCACTCTGACAACTTCTCACCCTGACAACTTCTCACCCTGACAACTTCTCACCCTGACAATCTCTCACCCTGACAACTTCTCCTCCTCACCCGGCCAATCCCTGACGCCATAATTACCTCGTTGCATATCTCCTTGCACGGGAACATGAACGGGGTCTCGGCCCTGACACAGAAAGGCGAGTAGACGCCACATAAGAAAAACTTCAAGTTGAGGTGACAGTTGGTGGCGACCAGCGCATCGAAATGGCTGACTTCTATGTTGATATCCTGAAATACGAAGTTCTGGATTTACTGTGTCTTGTGGGTTAAGTTTAGTTGAAAACACATTGGTATTGTATTCTAGTCGTAAATAGTGAACACTCTTATGTTTATTATAGGATACTTTTGTCGGGTGGGTGAGTGGTGAACACAAAACGAGATTAAAAGGTATCTGCAAATGTCAATTTTTGTCGGAAAGGGGGGGGGGGATTATCAAATCGCTGGACGAGCTAAAGGTATCTGCCAAATGTCAATTTTATTGTTGGGGGGGGTTATGCGAGCTGTGGGGGGGGGGGGGGGTTAGGCCACAAGTATCAGAATGTTGGGCGGGATAAAGGTATCTTCGGAATTGTTCTAAAATGTTCAGTTAGATGCACAGGTAAGATTTGACCACACGACAGCAAAGACCGGTCTGTGAATGGCTTTCCGCTTACCTTAGCCCGACACTGGCCAAACATGTTCGGCAAGGTGCCCCAGGTGAACGTCAGGTTGGCACACGTTGTGATGACGCTGTTGGACTCGCAGGAGGGGTACTCTTGTGAGCAGGGCTCGTCCTTGACGGGCTTTACACATCTCTTGTTCGGCAACGGCTGGCGATTGGATGGGTGGGACCCAAATTAGTGATACGCCGTTCAAAACAGTCTCAAACTTTAATCGAGATTGGCATTACCTGCCCTTACATTTTCTTTAAAGGACATCATGGAGCAAGTTATGTGGTGGGGTGTAAAAGAAAAACAAAACGTTCAAACAGATTAGGAGTTTATTTTGTTCTCTGTTTGATGAATGAGGATGTTACTGTGTTTTTAAAACTGGAGTGTCAACCTGTTTGATACAATTGCCTTTTTAGTAAAAAAAAAAATTCAAGGGCATTAACTCAAAATATGTCATTATTATGGATAATGTTCAGTTATTTCCCCCCATGCCATGGATGCCTTCACTGGCAACATAATATACTAAATCTAATTAACTGAGCACCCCTCGGTTACCGGGAATTTGATCGAAAGAAATTTCGTCGACTGTCATGTGATCGAACGGAAATGGGTCGAATCTTTTTCTCAGTTCACACGATAAAATTGTCGTCAGATTCCCTTTTAACGCACCTTACTGTACAGTAAAATAAAAAAATGCGTTCAAAAAGAAATTTAAAGCAACATTCGAATGTAAAAACTGCACACAAAAAATAATTTTTCGCCAACTTTCCGTGCGATAAATATGCCGTCGGTCAATTTACCGTCGACATTTGTTTCGATCAAAATTCCGGATACGAACACGCTGAGGCACCACTCACGTCCTTTACATCATCAAATACCGGCATTTCTTTAATTTTTTTTTTTTTTTTTTTACCACTTGAAGCTATAAAATGTGTGGTTGTGTTTCCATACGTATTCAAACTGTCCATATGCTGCAAAGCATCCACATTATTTATCTTACTAATGCCTTGATTTTTTAAATTTTATTTTAAAAACTCAACTACTTTTCATGTACGCCTCTTTCCAGTGGCCGTCTGGACGTCAAACTGCCCCCCCCCAACCCCCCTAAGTAACCCAAATTCTGCCTACCGCACATTCGAATTTCTCCTGCCAGTTCAGGGCGAAGATTTCTTTCAGCTGCTGGCCGCAGTTTTTCTTGGCGCGCAAGCATGTGGTCTTGCACGGCCCTATTCCCGCCTGCTTGCCCTGGCACTTGGGCAGGTACAGGGCGCAGATGGTGAGCCGCATATTGTTTGAGCAGGAGTGGTCCATGTACGCCCACGTGTGCTCGATGTGTTTGTAGACCTCGAGCTGTGATGAAGAAGGAAAAAAAAACAAGTCTGATTTCTTCGTGACGCCCTTAAACAAAGAACAAAGTGGCATAGCGAGGGTTTGTGCCACGTGGACGGAAAAATCTCTCTAAAATACCCTTCTTAAGTCAGTGCATGGAACCTCTCAGTGTAGCTTCCCGCAGGCTTGATGAATGAAGATTTGTGCATCTTTCAAGCTTTAACATTAGATTTATAAATAGACTTTCAAAAGACTTTGTTAAGAATAGATTTACCGATTGAAAAACTTTCTTTTTTTTGTCAGCTTAAGACCTCAATTAAAGGAACATATTTAATTGAGTTCTCTATTTCTTGAATCTCATTTTTATTTAATAAATTTCATTAATAGCAAGGAAGAACTTTATGTATAGTACTTTCCTACAATTATTTTGTACCAAAAAAACTATTTTCAAACTTATTTGTTTGGCAGAGTATATCTAACGCAGTGGTTCTTATTTTGTTTGTGCCATTGACCCAGTGGCGTTGCTTGGGTTAGTGCCGCCCGGAGCGTGTCGAGAATTTTACTACCCCACTTCCATAAAAACAAAAAAATGTCTCACAAAAAGTGGATGTCATGTAATTGTAATTGCTGCCCCTCCTTATAAAGAAAAAAGTGCCGCCTAATGCTGTCCAACCCTCGCCCCCCTTCCCCCCTTTCGTACGCCACTGCATGGGCCACATGAAGGTTGAAGGCAACGGTTCCTTTTTTTTTTTTTACAAAAAAAGCTTTTAAATGCAGAGAATAAATATCGAAGTAAATGCAATTAAATCGACCTCTAACAGAATTTCACAGACCACATCCACCCCCACTTCCAAAGGGACCATGAGCGATGGGTCAAGAACCTCTTATTTATCCTAATTTTGTGTTTACGGATGTTATAAGTCTTCAATTCTCACTACAACTGTGTTTGTCCTCCCAAACTCCATACACAAAGCATAACTCGCCTGAGTTGTGTGGTTGAACTGGTTCGGCAACTTGGTGTGCGTGTAGGGCACCAAGCCCTTGCACATGGGCAAGAAGATCTCCTCACAGTCGCCACCGTTGCCCTGTGCCTCGGCTGTCTGGACTTTCTTTCCATTGGGCTTTTTGTTGACGGCGTTGGGTCTTGCGTTCTGCGGTCTGTTCGCCTTGCGGGGAACTGGGGGTACAAAAAAAAAAGAGACTTAATGCTTACGGATTTTTTTGTTTTGCGACCAGGGGCCATAATTAATGACCAATAGGAAAAAAAAGAGAAACCCGTGACATGTCTTAACAAGATCTCGATCGACTCTTAAGGCAACTGGATTTACTTTTGTGTAGTTTATCCTTCGCGTGCGAGTATGACGAAGGCTTCAACTCAATTAGTAGCCTTGACTCGCGCTGTGTTTTTTGTTTAAAGAAAGGAGGAGTTGCTCAGTTCGTCAGCCTCGCTCTCTCGTCCTTGCCTGATTCTTCCAAAGGGCGAGATGCTTCTGATTAAGATCAGTACGACTGGAAAAAGTCCGGGATGCACTGGATGTCAGCAGTGCATCTCGCGTGATTTTTTTTGTTTTGTTTTTTTTTGCTCTTATGGGTTCCTCGTCGCAGGAGTTGTCGGAATTTTCATTGCGTCAATGTCGTAGTGCCCGCGGGGACTTGAGAAAAAAAAGAACCCTTAACTGAAACACCTAGGATTTCCTCTTTGGTAACCCGGTAATATGTTGTTGCGTGGCCTGGTGCCGAGCTGAACTCCGTTTGAGGACCGCTGCTTTAAAAAATGTTTGCATGTGTGTTGCACCCCTTTACAATACGAAACTAACACTGCATTTAAAAGTTTGAAAAAAAAATGGATTTCAATTTAAGGACAAAAATTAAATTAGAAGAAAAGCGGTGGACTTGAATAAATAAACATTTTAAGTTGATATAATAAGTGCTGTGTAAATATTTATATCATAACCCAATCGCCAATGGTTCCTCTGATCTTATAATCACATTCCCTCACGACCCTGAAGCGCCACCTTGCTTCCCTTGGGCTGAGAAGCACCCCAGGGTTGGATAACCTGGGTTCAATGCCACCTTGACATTTTGTTCAGTTTTCATTGCGAGGGAAACTTCGAGCTGTAGAAAAATGATTTATAAAATAAGAAACTGAAAGGGACATAATTTTGGAATATGCCATGAATTTCACACGAGTTCCTCTGTGGCTCAAACATGTTTTTAAAAAAAAACATGTTTTTTGTTGAGATCTACATCTACTGGAACACACGATGTCATTGTGTTAGTGGGATCAGTGGTGGGATTCAGCAGAGCCGGTACCTAATTTGCCTGTTTAAGTTCGGTGAACCGGTTGTTCAAAATCTAAATATCCCTTGTGATCAGGGTTCTCTGTCTAAGACGGGCGCCTAGGCAGCCGCGCCATCTGGAAATTGCACCGTTGGATTCTTTGCCGCCCTTTCGCCATTCCTCTGCGCTAAAGCGTACTCTAAGCGCATGTGTAGCAATGGTCATTACGTTGATAGGTGTAAAAAAAATTAGACGCGACTATGCCTGTAATATTTATTTATTCATTGAGAAAGACGTGCCCTTTTATACCTTTGATGGAATGCTACATCTTTCGTTGAATGCTACATTTTTCATGGAATACTACATCTTATATAGAATACTACATTTTTGATGGAATACTACATCTTTCATGGAATACTACATCTTTCATGGAATACTACATCTTTGATAAAATACAACATCTTTGTTGGAATACATCATCTATTTTTTTTCTTTTTTTATTTGGCGAATGTTTTTAAATATGTTTGTTCCATTGACCCAGTGGTGTAACTGGGGTCTAGTGTGCCCGGAGTGGCACACGAATTTTGCAGCACCCCCCCCCCTCTTCCTTTCTTCTTTTCTGTTCATCATGTGTCCAATAGACCTCTGTTTGTTGGTCAGTTAGTTGATTAATTCGTCACATCCAAAATTTCTCAATCGCTTGTTGATAAATAAGTATTGTGTCGAATGGTTTGTTTGTATGTTAGTTTGTTGTTGTTGTTTTTTTGTTTTTTTGGTCGGGAGCTGGCGAACATCTCTAATCATATTGTTTGCTGAAAAAATATTAGAATTCCGTATCGTTTCCTTAGAAAGCCAAGAATTTCATATCGTTTGCTTTTAAAATGACTATAATCCCGTACCGTTTGATTAAAAAGACGAGAATCCCGTACCGTTTGATTAAAAAGACTAGAATTCCGTGCCGTTTGCTTAAAAAGACTAGAATCCCGTACCGTTTGATTAAAAAGACAAGAATCCCTTACCGTTCGCTTAAAAAGACTATAATCCCGTGCCGTACCGTCTGCTCAAAAAGACTAGAATCCCGCGCCGCTTCCTTAAACCCTTACAATTGACACTTACCGTTCTCCCGCAACTTCTTCCTCGCCCCGACTGGTTTCTTTGCTCTGTTTTCCTTGCCTTGACCGCCGGCCACTGCGATCAGAACGCCGAGCACCACAAGACACGCGGCAACGGATCTCAACTTCATTGTTAGACACCTCCTTGGACAGTCTGAACAAACGTGTCCTGTAACGTCGTAGACCCGTGGAACGGTCGTAAGCCTTCAGCAGTCGGTAGCCTTATCTAGAGAAGAGGACGTGCAGAGCCATATTAATCAACAACTGGTTTACCTCATGTTTCTATGGGTAGTTTTACAATTTCAAAAAACATTAAAATTTTATAGAGCTTATATCATTGAGTCTGGTGAGATTTTTTTTTTTTTTTTTTTTTTGTTTTCTTTTTTGTGAACATGATTTNGTTGTTTTTCTAATTTGTGAAATTAAACCCCCCCCACCCCCCCCCCCACTCTTTTTTTTACCGAAAAAAAAAGAAATAAAAAAAGTAATTAAAAACGGCCACAATTAAAAAATAAAAAAATAAACAAACAAACAAACAAAACACCCAGATCTATGGCGGAGAAATCTTCCACACGGTAAAATTTTGTCAACGAAAATGAGTTCACATTTGAGGACAACTACTACTGCATTTTCTTCTAAATAATGAGATTTAGAAATAAATCGCAGACTTATTCCAATGAAACCACGCGGGAACGTGTCATCGTCATCGGAGAATGGAACGGAAATCTATTTTAGATCCGTTTGATGGTTGGTGTCGAAAAAATAATTTAATTTTAGAGATTCCTATTCCATTTCAAGAAAAAAAAAAATATTGTACAATCCGCAATTATTATTTCACTTGCTAAAAAATTCGTAACCGCATAAGAATAACCACACTTTGGTGGCCAGAATAACCACACTTTGGTGGCCAGAATAACCACACTTCGGTGGCCAGAATAACCACACTTCGGTGGCCAGAATAACCACACTCCGGTGGCCAGAATAACCTCACTTTGGTGGCTAGAATAACCAAAGTTTGTTGGCCAGAATAACCACACGTTGCTGGGCAGAATAAACACACTTTGGTGGCCAGAATAACCACACTTTGGTGGCCAGAATAACCACACTTTGTTAGCCAGAATAACTACACGTTGGTGGCCAGAATAAATACACTTTGGTGGCCAGAATAACCACACTTTGGTGGCCAGAATAACCACACTTTGGTGGCCAGAATAACCTCACTTTGGTGGCTAGAATAACCAAAGCTTGTTGGCCAGAATAACCACACGTTGGTGGCCAGAATAAACACGTTTTGGTGGCCAGAATAACCACACGTTGGTGGCCAGAATAAACACGTTTTGGTGGCCAGAATAACCACACTTTGGTGGCCAGAATAACCACACTTTGGTGGCCAGAATAACCACACTTTGGTGGCCAGAATAACCACACTTTGGTGGCCAGAATAACCACACTTTGGTGGCCAGAATAACCACACTTTGTTAGTCAGAATAACCACACGTTGGTGGCCAGAATGTCCACCTTCGGTTATTAAGCCACAATAATCAGAAGTGAGATCGTTTTAATTTCGCATAGATTTTGAATTATTTTTTTTCCGCATCACGCGTTTCTTTAAGCCTATCCAGTCTGTCAACAGTATTCACGTATTATATTACAGCTACGACACTCACAGCGTCAGATTGCACTGCACACTAAATGCACGCAAGTATGCATGTAAGTACACATGAACGGTAGACGCAAGGATCCGGTAAGTGTACTACTACTACTACTGCCGGTGTAGCGGGTTCTTAATGTACCGTGGCGAAAGAAGTACGGGAACACTCTTGAACCCCCGCACTGATATCCATCACGCTCCTCTGTTAACAACGTCAGCCCCAAGTTTGGTGCACACGACACGCCCTTACGAGGCGCAGGGGCGTCGACCTGAGAATCGACAAAAAGGGGGGGGGGGCTGCTTGAAAACAGGTGACACGTGTGCTCTCGCAGCAACCGCCTCAAGACATCCTTTTCGACACATTTCATTATCTTATCTTATCATTACTTTCATTTTAAATGCTAAAAATGCTAATTTAAACGTTTAATAAAAAAAGAAAGACTTGAGTGTGCAAGAAGCAGAAGTAAAAAGTGGTTATTTAAAATTGCTTTGAGAAGCTCGTTTCAAACCCGAACTTTTTTAAGTTTCTCACAATATTTAAGCTTTTATTGCAATTTTGAATGAAATGCGCCCTCGAAGAAGTCGCCCCCTCAGGCCCCACTTCAAAAAAAAAAAAATGGGGGGGGGGGGGGGGGGGGGGGGGGGGGGGGTGTTGTCTCAACAAACCAGTGGGCTTCAAAGAGGACATGGTTTTAACTTTAGATTTCGTAAGCGTCCCAGATTATAATTGCTTTCATACCAGTGACGTCAGCAGAGTCCAACTCCAAGCAGGCCGTGCTGTAAACGTTATTGGTAGGTAACGGAAAACAAGCCTGGGGTCAAGGCCGAAATTTAGAGTCGGTAGCATCATGTCACATTTCCTTCGATCCCTCCTCTCAACCCATCTTCAACATTCTTCTTCTCAAACCCTCTTCTCCTCAAACCCCCATCTCCTCAAACCCTCATCACCTCAAGCACTCCTCTTCTCTACTCCCCCCCCCTCCAACCTCTTCTCAAACCCTTCTCTCCTCAAACCTTCATCTCCTCAGACCCCCCTCATGTCAGACCCTCCTAATCCCAAACCCTTCTCTCCTCAAACCTTCATCTCCTCAGACCTCCCTCATGTCAGACCCTCCTATTCCCAAACCCTTCTCTCCTCAAACCTTCATCTCCTCAGACCCCCCTCATGTCAGACCCTCCTATTCCCAAACTCTTCTCTCCTCAAACCTTCATCTCCTCAGACCTCCCTCATGTCAGACCCTCCTATTCCCAAACGTCGGGAAACAAGGTTTAGTCTTAATTATCTTGCTCACATGTCACATGGGTACATTTATTTTTAGAGTTTTTTTTTTGTTTTTTTTTTGTAAATGTGTGTTATGTGGCATTAATTGTTCGCGTGACTTCGGCCTTAATGCGAGACGACATTTTCCATGGTTGAAGAGTTTATGGGCCATATGTCCTACCTTCAGTGCTGCTACAAACGTTTCTTGAATTCTAGTTTTATTGTAAGGGGGGGGGGGGGCGGGTACTTTATTATATATCATATTTATTTATTACCCGGGTGTGAGCAGTAAAATAACACCAAAGTAACACCTAAATGTAACCCAGCTCTGGAATGTAACGTCCCAGGATCGTTGTGCCGGATGACCTTTTTCTGTTTTTTTTTGTTTTTTTTTGTGTGGTGTTAATTAGGTTAATTTATTATGAAAGCATCTTAGTTTTGTAGTAGTCAGTCAGTTAGCAAATATGTATAAATATTTTGTTTAATCACTTACCGAGCCAAGCCCACAATTAACCGAATTCTATGTACTTGAGAGTGGCAGCAGCAAAGTATTTCTAAACTATTTTCCTTGGCATAATGTTTACGTAGTTTTAAGGGGGGCTCCATGCTATTAATAATTTAGTTTTAATGATGCGTTTCTGTTGTTTTTTTTCAATGGCGTAGGACTGGCCTGCACAACCCAAAATCTAATGCGGGCCGTGATATTTTATGAAAAACTTGCGCGGGCCAAAAGAAAATAGGACGAGGGGTGTTGGGGGGGGGGGGGAGGGGCAGCCATTAAGAATAATAAGAATAAATAATATTTCTTTACTTCTCTGGCCGTTTGTTGTGCAGGCCTGTCGTAGGAAGAAATAAGAAAGGGTGGGGGGGGGGGAGGATGATCGACTCCAGGGTGGAGGGGGCGGTCAACTCTAGGGTGGAGGGGGCGGTCAGCTCCGGGGTGGAGGTGGCGTGGCATTCACGAATGCCAGACGCGCAAAAGCTAGTGCCATATTTGGCAGGCTCCGCTGCACTGTTTGGGACAGGAGAGGTATCAGGCGAGAAACGAAAATCAAGGTCTATAGCGCAGCAGACCTCTCCACATTGCTCAGCGTATGTGAAACGTGGTTAGTCTACCAGCGTCACGCCAAGAAACTGAACCATTTTCACACAACCTGCCTCAGGAAACTCCTCGGTATCAGGTGGCAAGACAAAGTCCCCGACACAGAGGTCCTTGCTAGACCGAACCTACCTAGTATCTTCACCTCCCCCCCCCCCGATGCAGTCTCAACTCCGTTGGATGGGACACGTAGCCAAAACAGATATTCGTCTGAGAACTCACGATAGGCAAGCACTCCCAAGGAGGTAAACAAAAAAAGCGTTACCAGTACAAAGACTTTGAGAAAGTGACACTAAAGGCCTTAAGCATTAACCCTACTCAATGGGTGCAGACAGCCCAGGACAGAACCAGGTGGAGAGCAGCTGTCAAGAAGGGAGCTAAATCTCATGAAGCCAGTAGGATAACCACAGCTGAGACACGCAGGCTAGCCCGAAAGAGCAACATTAGATCACCGACTTCAGCAACGATCAACTGCCAGAGATTATTCCGAGCACAGATCGGACTAACAAGCCACCTTCGAACTTACTGTAACCAACCCCCACCCCCCCCCACCCCAACCCAAACCGGATGACTCGATGGTCCTAGTCGGACGAACAGCAACAACGAAGGGGGCGTGGACCTCCAGGGTGGAGAGGGCGGTCATCTCAAAGGCGGAGAGCGCGGCCATCTCAAAGGCGGAGAGCGCGGTCATCTCCAGGGCGGCATTTCTTTGTATACCTTGAAGGGTAATGTTTTCGGTCACTGCAGAGGGTTTGTTTGTTTGTTTTTTTTTGTTGTTTTTTTTTTTTTGATTGCCTTGGATAAATAGTGGTCCACCCCCGGCGATACTAACGTTAACTACGAAACTGTTTTTGTTTTTGTTTGTTTTTTTTTGGTAGTTTTTTTTTGTTTGGAGTCATCTCGTCCTGATTTTTCTCAACGTCTCCATGTAATAATTCATTACTAACAATTACCATGTAGCAACCATCTCATCTCGACGTGAAACTTATATGTGCCTTATATATAATCAGCAAGTATGTGTTGTCCCACTTCCCAAAACTGTTGCAAGAGAGGCTCAAATCGTTGGTTTTTAATTTTAAACATTGAGTAGGTTTCTGGAAAGAAAAAAAAAGGGGGTGGGGGAGTATCAGGCAGATACCGGTTAAGTTCAAAAGATGACCTTTCCAACTTCTCCGCCCAGGACCGTATTTAAGGTTAGTGCCACCCTGGAGGCGGGCTAAGACTAATTGCCGCCCACTTTCATGAAATCAAATCTGCAGTTGACCGAAAATGCAGACCCTCCATATCATGAAAAACAAAACAACAATCGTTCCCTGGTGTGGGGGTGGAGGGGGTGGGGCGTTCCACTCCCCTCCGCCCTCATTGTTACGCCACTGCCTCACGCCGTGTCTATCTCTATGTGTCAATATGTTCCCCATATACTGTAAATTGCGTCCTCCCTTCCCCCACCCCCCCGCGTGACACCGCCCCCACGTTGGGAGTCACAGTTTGTAGACCACCCCCAAAGTTTGTTCCAAAGACAAACAACCCTCAGTTACAATAACATGCACGCCTCGCTTTGTTCCCCCCCCCTCCCTTCCCACGGATCTGCCTCCCCATTCCTTCTGTCCCTCTTTCCCTCCATCACACAACTTTTGATGAGTGGTTTTCTTAGTGGTTGAGTGCGGCTCATCCATCTCTCATTCAGAGTTGTACCCGAAGTATCCTCACGCTGTACTTGGGTGTCACTGGCGCGGATAGAGAAGCGTTCATTGATGGTTCAAAAAGGGTAGATGCAGCAGACCCTAAAACCTCTCCCTACTGCAAGGGCCTCGGGTCTCAAGTTGTGACTGGGAAATTGTTTCAACTATTAACTTTCAACGGTGCAAGGGGATTGGGGGTAGCAGAAAAGTGACAGGTGGTTCTCCAAAATTCACTTCAATGTCCAGTAAGGGGTGTTCTGTCAACGTTCAGTGCTAGATGTTCTGTCAGTGTCCAGTTCTAGATTTTCTGTCAATGTCTAGTTCTGGGTGTTCTGTCAGTGTCCAGTGCTAGAATTTCTGTCAATGTCTAGTTCTGTGTGATCTGTCAGTGTCCAGTGCTGGATGTTCTGTCAATGTACAGTGCTGGGTGATCTGTCAGTGTCCAGTGCTGGATGTTCTGTCAGTGTCCAGTGCTGGATGTTCTGTCAATGCCCAGTCAGGGAGCATTCCGTGTTCAAAAACATCTCTGTCATACAACATTGACCTCCATTTAATGTCTGAGAAGTGAAAATTGTACGAGTGAAACTAGATAAGTGAAACTAAATGAGTGAGACTAGATGAGTGAAACTAGATAAGAGAAACCAGATGATTGAATGAATGAAACCAGATCTGTGAAGCCAGATGAGTGAAACCAGATGAGCGAAACCAGATGAGTGAAACCAGATGAGCGAAGCCAGATGAGTGAAACTAGATAAGTGAATGAGTGAAACTAGATGAGCGAAACTAGATGAGTGAAACCAGATGAGCGAAGCCAGATGAGTGAAACCAGATGAGTGAATGAGTGAAACCAGATGAACGAAGCCAGATGAGTGAAACCAGATGAGCGAAACCAGATGAGTGTGTCTGCATTTGGTTTGAAAATAGTCCACACCACTGTGAACTGCAATGTGTCACGTCCTCCGGTACCCAGTCCTGCCCCTCGCCGTTGTCTATTGACATCTTCCACATTTCATCAGTTTAACGTGGCCTCTTGTTTTCTCTTATGTAAGCCTGTCATCATGCATGTCCCAGTTTCTGGCCTGTATTTAATGGGTTTTTTGTAAGTTGTTTTATTTTTGAAATTATCCAAACTCTTACCCAATTTTTCAAAGCAATTTCACCACATTTCTCTATTTGGCACACCCACTTTTATGTATTAAAAATGAAATCCAAA